AGCTTGGGAACTCCTGGACTAAATGACCACTAATGTCCCTTCCAGCTCTAGGATCCTTTGAAAACAGATTGCTTGGTTGATGCTGAATTTTAGCAGCCTGGTCTTAAGGGCTCTCGGGGCTGAAGAACTTAACTGAAGGGCTCCCATGGCCCTCAAGTCACTAGCTCTCTATCCCTCATTTAATATTTAAATATTTAAATATGAGGAATAATCCTGGTAATCCTGGTGATTCTTTAAAGAAACCTGGATGTAGTTTATGGTTTACATGTGAATTCAGTTACAGTTTCATGTTCTTGGCTAATTCCTCCCAAATCCTCTACCCGAGATTAAAACACAGGATTTGGACTGTGGGAAAACTATAACAGATATCCTAGAGGGGGAAAAATGTGAAGAAAAAGGTGGTTTTTCTTGTAACTAAGTGACCAGATTGTTTATGATAAGGAAATGCTTTCCCTAGGGAAGAAGTAGAAGAACCACAGTCTGGTGGGGAGTTTCCCGGAAGGACAGAGGGCATCCATGCTCCCTTGAAGAGGTTGTAGGAAAAGAGCCCTCCTAGCCTCTGGGAGCCCCAAATAACGCCTTTTAAGGCTCATCGGCTTTACAACGAGGCATATTGTGCCTCCTAACAAAAGACCTTACTCCAAAATAAGGGTTCTCAGTCATGGCATGGCTGGCTGGGGAATTCTTTGAGTTGAAGCCATGGTTGAGAAACACTGATTTAAAAGGTGTTTCCAGACACTTTCTGACCTATATTCTAGGTGGCCCATCCAGAACTTCTCAGGTGTCATAATTCTGGAGCTTCTCCCGAAAGCAAGAAAAGGAGGGAGACAGGAGGTTGCTGTGGCCTGGAGGGGGCTATGGAGGACCTCATGTTCTCTGCAGTTGGAGAAGATGGTCCCCACCTTTGAAGGTGGGTCCCTGAGGTTGGCTGCTGCACTCCGTGCCCCCAAGTTACCATGGATCTGACGTGATGATGGGGAAACCCAATGAGGTCAATCACTGGGGTTTGTCTCATAAATCCAGAGAACCACCTGGTATGACTTTATGATAACTCAGCTAAATCCTAGATGAGCTAATTCCGTACATTTATGTGAGATGTTTTGAATTCTGAAATAGCGCCAGATCAGAGGGACAATATGGTTGTCGTTGGGGCATATTCCTGCAAAACTGGCCAGAATGCTCTCCTTGAGCCCTGGGCTCTGGTGAACCCCCACTTAATGCTATCTATCTATCTATCTATCTATCTATCTATCTATCTATCTATCTATCTATCTATCATCATCATCTCTCTCTCTCTCTCTCTCTCTCTCTCATCTATCTATCTATCATCTATCTATCTATCTATCATCTATCTATCTATCATCTATCTATTTATCTATCTATCTATCTATCTATCTATCTATCTATCTATCTATCTATCTATCTATCTATCATCTATCATATCTATCTATCTATCTATCTATCTATCTATCTATCTATCTATCTATCTAAATATC